ACAATTGATCTTTCTTCACCATATTTAAACAAACGTTTTGGTCCATTTGAGGGTACCATACCACCTTAATAACCAATAGCCTCCATTTGGCGTGGAAATATACTCGGATATTTGTCTGCAGATAGTATCTGTCCTAGATGCGAACAGTTTTCCGAGAGCGTAGGGTTAGGATTAGGAGGAAAACCCTTGCTCGAGAGAAACTGTGAGGTTTGAGGAACAGATAATGTCCAGGGACAAATATCCGAGCATATTAATTTTTCGCGCCAAATGGAGGCTATTATGTTTATCATCTTCAAATACTTTTCGCAACACGCGCGGTTTTAAAAATTGGGAATATCACTCTAGCAGGGGACATTCAGTCACATGACGCGTTGAGACAAATCGCGCGCACGCAAAAATATTGGATGGTTTATACAAGTAATAAGATATATGTATATCCTAAAAAGTAAACCATTATTGTTAAGATATTGAAAAAAAGTATAAAAACAATTATCGTTTGACTTATCATAGGGTGAGGTTTCTATTTTTTGTGATCAGTACTTACTCTTGCATATCTTGGCCATGCTGTCCTGTTCAAGTGAGACAAGAATGTGAGAAGGCAGNAGGGTGAGGTTTCTATTTTTTGTGATCAGTACTTACTCTTGCATATCTTGGCCATGCTGTCCTGTTCAAGTGAGACAAGAATGTGAGAAGGCAGCCATTGCACCATGTGATTAAGCTGGTATTATGTTGGTACACGAGAAGATCAAGGTACTTACCATGAACTTCTCTTAGTTGTTATTATCAGCATTTCACACCCTTTCTTACTTTCTCTCTACCTTTCGTCTTCAATTCTTTCATATTTTATTTCTTCGTTGTTTCTTTTTTCTCCACTTGTCTTCCTTTTTTCCTTCCTCATGTATTAATAATTTATTTATCGTAATTTTCTCTTGTCCTTGTTCGTTCAGCTACTCCGGCGACCGTTCACCCAATGGAACAGTAGGCTAAGTTACAATGCTTATCCTATATTACATATACATTTAACTTGAACAGACGTATTATACTAGTAAATAAATGTTAATCGGGTGAAAAATGATATTGAAAAGCACTACGTTTTCCCAGTTTTCTTAGCCCTTGTTAACTAAATATAATTAATTTATTTATTCTTTTTCCTGGTAAACGATAGGCGAGCAACGTTTTTTTTCGTTTGTCTCTCGATGGAGTCACTTTGAGGAGTCGATGTCGTCCCCTAATTTGTTTTACTTTACTTCATATTACTGGAAGTCAGTTGTCATGTATTACATACATACATACATTCATACTTTATTGGAACTCCCTTTAACAGGGCTTTTCAGTCACAATAAACTAACTATTAAAATTAAAGTTGAGAATTATTCTTCTGTAAGCATACTTGTGTAGTAAGTTACTTACTTGTGTCCTTTTCGTTGTTTCGTTTTCTTTTTTTGAAGAAAATGGCGGCAGCCATCAGCATAAGTATGCACAAAATAACAGATAGAGTTGTATACAGGATAAGTTCAGTACTTCCGCTGACAGAATTTGTCTTGTAGCTGCTAGTTGGCAGTGACAATGTCTCGGGTTCTGTTGATACTGAAAACAACTTCATGTTCAACTTCAATCAGTAAAGTTCCCATTAAAGTAGAAGGTCACTCCCAAAAACGTATATTTTTTGTCAGCGTTAATAAATACCTTGCCCTAAGTTTAGCCGCTCACCGAAGCTTCAACCTCTCAAGTGCAGGTTTTCCTTATGAAATTCGTCTACAAAGAAGCCAGAAATTCACTAACGCTCCTTGCATTCAAAACTCGAATTGAATGGCCTTTCACGAGTATCGACGCTCGATTCAAGTTGAGAGTGGCGTGATTTTCTTGGACCAATAACAATTCTTTTGCTGCGCATAGCAAACTTGATTTTGTATAGACAATAGATTACGTCAAATAGTTTTTTTTCGGTTTTGTCAAAGTGGACAGAGGCCGGCTTTCGAGTTATGTTGAAAGATTTTGAAATAACAAAACGTTTTTCTGTAGCAGTTTGTTTCTTTATTATTATATAAAACAAATATATTCCATGTTGCCGTGCGTCTGCGCAGTAATAGATCACAGAGCAGATCAAAATGTGGTAAGAAACCAGTGGCGGATCCAGACTTTGAGCTAAGGGG